CCTCATTGATTTCTTTAACTACAGTTAAATGTTGAATGGTCTTCGACTTAGCTCGTTTGGGACTGCTTCTCTAGGAAGTACTTCAGCTCATAAGCGCTTCTAACAAAAGCGCTTTTATTATAAAAATCTTGAATTTTCATAAAAAATTAAAGTGCTTCGTGGAAAAGCACTTGGGAGTGCTTCCTAGAGAAGCACATAGTAGGTGCTTCTACAGGAAGAGCTTCTATGACCCAGAAGCACTTCTAAACTTTTCTGCCAAACGTTGTCCGCAGTGCTTTTAGTTATCAGAAAGCGTTTTTGGCCCTTCTAGAAGCACTTCCAAACAGGCGATGCAAAATGATTTAAGAAAGGGACCTTAAAGTGGACAGTTGTAAATATAGACCTAAATATTGAGATCAACTTGGATGAAGACGCATGTTTACTTACTAGGAATGGACGAAGTTATGAATTAAGAAAGTTTAGGAATATGTGAGAGGAATGGGAGAGAGATCAACTGATAGGACCCACCCCGGATTCTCCCTTGGAATCCGTGACGAACCCTGCTTCCCGTCCGGCATTTAACTGATGTCGAGCCCACTTTTCCAAAACGTTTTTTTAGCCCTAATTTAAACTGATAGACAATTCGACTTCTGCCGAAATTTCGGCAGTCACCCCTGTAATTTCCCAATTTACAGTACCTATAAATCAGCACAGAAATAATCCCAATTTTCACCATGCACAAGGTAAAAGCACACACAACAGTTAAGACTATTGAAATGGGCCTCAGGCCCTCTACCCGAACTTAAAAATGAGTAGCTAAGAGCAACTAGAGATTTAGTTTGCACTCCGAGGAAAATAAAAGGTAGAGAGTGATAGTAGCACACTCCTACGGAGTTGACAACAATGATTTCTCGACATGGTGGTCTCAACCTCAGATGCCTAGAACCTGGAGGCACAAAACAGAAAATGTGAGTAGACGAAAACAAAGGGTTAAACATAATTTATATTCAACATAAATAACCCCCTCCGTTTTAGAAAATAGTGCCCAAAACACCATGCAATAGATATCTTTAGTAAACGTACAGAAATATCATCCAATACTAGAAAATATTTCAGTTCAGTAAAATTTCATATCATGACATACGATAAGGAAAACCATTTAATTAATACTTCTCAAATTCTCGGACTCTACGGTACACCCCGTCAAATTCTTCGTAGACAGCCCTATCAAGGGCCTTACATTACACCCTGTCAAAGGTGCCCGGGTCCCGACACACCTCCTAAGAGTTACCGCATGTCTAATGTATCTGGGTATCCATTGTAACTAAGGGGAGTTACATGTAATTCCATAATTCCAATTTTGAAAAATACGTTTCCAAATAACATAAATATATATATATATAATAAAATAACACCCATAATTCTTTATGAAAACCATAAAAAATCATAATCAAGAAAAACACCAAAACTAAAATAAACCCATTCGATTTCAATAATATCCAAAATACTATATTCATATGGTTAGGAAATATAACAACCTCCTAGAATCTCATAGGACAACAGTAATAAAATCCAATACACCATATTTAAAATTCCAAAACCATATGAACCAAAATCCCATGTTCAAATTTTCATAAACAAACCCAATATCACCAAATCCAAAATCACCAGAGTCCGAAACTCAAATCCATATACTTTAATAATAATAATAATACTCCCTAGAAATTCCATATCACATTTTAAAAGCCGAGACTAGTCCGATAATAAAATCTCATAACCTCATTAACCCAAAATAAACCAATTTCGAATCAAATCACATTTATACAAGCAATTCCATATTTGAAAAACAATGCTCATTTAAAAACAAATGTCCACTCACAACAAGTCCAATGCTGCTTAATTGTGAGAGGGCTCTTCCTGTGGAGTACGCTAAGAATGAATACCTATTTGAGAGGATAAACGGACTTCGTTAATAAAAGTACCCCACAACAAACTTTAACTCATAACTCTAGTTTTCGGGTCTCAAAGTAAGCACACCTTTTAAGAAGGCTTATAGGGTCATTCTAGTACTTCTCGAATGATGAGACAGTCTCGGAAGACTCATGGTCAACCAAGTGGTCAAACTTTTCATATTGGTCAACCAGGCCCGCGAGGCCCACAACCTCCGATTTCCGATTCGAAAGTTTCTATAGGTCCAACAAAATCTACAAAATAAGTCCCAAATATTTGGTCTCAATCGAGCGGTCGGATTTAAGCCAATCACACGATTGGACGACGATCAATTCGCCTAACCCTATAATCATTGACTACGAATATCCGATACTACGATTCTCTATCCGCAAGTTTTTACAAGATCCTAGAGGTACATGGAACAACATAATTGAAATTGGAACCGATTGAACGATTCGAACCTATCAAACCTGGATATCACATAATAGGTATAATATATGTTCGATAGTCAAAAGGTGACTAACTTCAAATCCAAGTATACCGTCATGCTCGGGATGACATGGGGAAGATTTTAGAACACAATGGCCGCCACAAGGTGGTTCACACGCCGCCACTCGTCTCTCGCAGCTGTGGGTGGCTTGACGAAAAATCTTCAAATCACCGAGCAATACCTATACCCACAGTTCAAGCACAACTAGAAGAGCATTTTTAGTTCTTGGACCCTTACCAAAAAGTGGCTGGAGGGGCCCGAAACATGGTCAAAACCGCCAGCCTCTAAGGGTGTCTAAATCAAACTCTCAAATCTCAAATCAACTCAAACCATGTACACAATCAACAAGAGCACAAGGAGAGGATCGAAATCCATACCTGGATCGATGTGAACAGCCGCCGAAGTCGACGAAAACTACAACTGAAACCATGGAAATCGTCAGTCTTTTGGAACTCAAAACAGCATTGTGCCGAACTTGGGTGGCTGGATCTTGGCCCAAACATGGTCGCCGAAAGTAGCCAGTCATTTTCCGACATGTCTCGTTGGAGGAGGTGGCCAGACAGCAGTGTGGCGTCGCCGAGAAGGTGAAAAGCTGGATATTTAAGGTTTCTGAATAATTTCATAAATTCCCAACGTGTCCTTTCAATTTTCAGACCTTTACGCGTTTATTACAACTCGGAATTGAGTATGTCGCCTGTCCACGAACTCATATCGACGAGCTCTTAGCAACGGTGCTACTCAATTCCCCAAAATCATTCCGAAATCAAAAGTGACTAAAGTACCCCTACCCCCAAAGGCAAAAATGTAATTTCACAATTAAATAATTAAATAAACTACTTAATTGGGTCGTGGTGTGACATCAACTATTGCTCCTAATCATTCTAATTTATTTACTGAGTTACAGATTTTAATATAGAACCCATATAAAAAAAATTGGGAGAAACAATAGTAATTTATTGATAGGAAAATAACCAAAAGTACATAAAGGTTGGGCGATGCCTTGAGGCCTCAATGTATGCTGGCTTTGAGAAGCCCCACATCCCTAGGGTTAGGTAAGTTTCTCTACATAAAGACTGGAATAGAGAAGGCTCACAGTCCCCTATTAAGCTACTCAAAAAAGTTAATAGTTACAATCCTCAAATAAGGCATCAGAAATAAAGTCTAGGGGTTCTTCAAACCAAGTTAGAGAAGCCCCAATATGTAAAGCGAAACAAGCCATACGGTGAGTCACGCTATTTGTTGTGTGACGGATGTGGATAAAACCTTCCCCAGTAATCTGTGACAAAAGCCTCTTGTTATCTTCCATAATTGGGCCAATCAAAGACCTATCAATAGAATAATTCTTGAGAGCCATCACGATCTAGAGAGTATCACTCTCAAAAACAATATATGTAAAACCCCTTTCCTTCGCAAAATAGGTCCAGCTCTAGCTGCAATAGCTTCCACCTGTATGGCAGAATAAACATTGTCGACCTTCAAGGCACAACTAGCTACGAAAAAACCACTGCAGTCTCGCACAACTGCTCTGACCCCTCCCTCAGTACTATCTACCCTCCATCCTCTGTCACCATTGGCTTTGAGCAAGCCTTGTAGCGGCCGTTGCCAATGTGGAGGGGCGGTTGACTTGGTGCTTGTGGTTTTCTTCTCCAAACTTTCTTGGGCTTTTAGAAAATCCTGAAGCCATATCGCTGTGCTAATTTCCTCCGGTCTTGTGCGTCGGTTGTGACATAGGAGGTTGTTACGTGCGTCCCACATAAATTTTAATTCCTTATGTATTAGTAAATGTGGGGAAATCAGATATTGGAATAATTGCACGCTATTCTGTGCTTAAAACTGTTTATGTGTATATACGTTTTTAGGTGCAAACGTGGTGTCGTTGGAATGACAAGACCACAATTTGTTGGAACAGTACCCTTTTTTTTTCAATTTTTACTTAACAAGCTTACCAAGGCCCTAAAGTTTACTGCTCAATAAAGTTGTCAACCTTTAGGGCTCGTTTGGAAGTGCTTCTTTCCGAAGCGCTTATGCCAGTAGCGCTTATGCTAGTAGCACTTATGACATAAGCGCTTCTACAAAGAAGCAATTTGTCGTTTGGATGTCACATTTAAAAGTGCTTTTACACTACATAAAACGCTTTCGATATTTTGTTCAGTGTTTGGCTAACATAGTAAAAACGCTTTTAAAAGTACTTAAAAAAAATTTAACGAATCCCAAAATATTATAATAAACATAGGGAATAAAAATTCACAGGATCCTAAAATAAAAACACGACTTAAAAAAGTATGAACTTCACCAAGTATAATTTTTAATCATTATGTTGTTAAATCATAATCCTTCACAAGGTCCATTTCAGTTGAACTCTGTAATTTTTCCCATGCTTAACCTGTAACCCTCTGGAGGTTTGAATGTATTGTTTCATTAATTAGTGGGTTTGAATGTATTGACTACCGTGCACCTGTGCATTCATACCCTACTCAATGTGCATTAGTACAAGTTCTTCGTTTCCAACTGTAGTTTAGGTCATGTTGGATATGCCTCCTGTTATTAGCTCATGTATGTTTTTCTGTTTGTTTTCATGTAGAGCTGGCACGACGTCACAAGAAGAGAAGGGAAAGAAGACAAAGGTGGGTCTAGGGCTCCATTGCTGCTGCCTTAACTCTTGGTACTGCAGCCTTGGCATACTCATATCCCGTCTGTTGGGCTTTTTTGGGTTTTAATATGAGAGAAAAAGAGAGAAAAAATATATATATAAAGAAAGGGTATTTTGGCCTTTAAAAAAATTAAATATTGATATTTTTGGTATTTTAAAAGATTCATTAAAGGGAGCCCAGTGCTTCCTGTGTTTTTGTCCTACAGCGCTTTTAAGAAGAAGCACTTGAGATGTGCTTCTTCCAAAACCACTCCAAGTGCTTTTGGATCTCATCCAAAGCGCTTTTGCAATTTTTGCCAAACACTATTTTTAAAAGATAGAAGCGCTTTCACCCATTTAGAAGCTCTTTTCACTGCTCTCAAAGCACTCCCAAACGAGCCCGTGTACGGATAAAATTATCAAACCAAAACAAAACACAATTTTTCCAAACAAAAAACAAAAAACAAATTGAAGGCATAGTTAGAATGGCGAGGATTGTTATATATTGTGTCAATGGTGTCCGCTTTTAGCAGCAATTAATCTTAAAGTCACTTCTTCTGCTATACCATAAAAATATGTATATATCTTAAAGTCACTTCTTCTGCTACATTAAAAAAAAAATGTGTATATATTGTTACAGCTAATATTCTTTCAATAGGATGGTGGAGAGCCAGCCGGATGAGCCCCAGCAGCCTGACAAGTGGTGCATCTACAGGGTTCCCAAGAAACTCCGCAAAGCAAACGAAGCAGCATACACTCCTCAACTACTTTCAATAGGCCCTTTGCACCATGGCAACCCAGAATTCAAGGACATGGAGACCTATAAGAAAATGTATTATGAGAATTTTTGTGAACGACGTACGAAGAAGAGCGAGAACGAACTGAAAGACTTCATCAGAGAGCGTAAACAGGACATTCTTCACTGTTATGCAGGGACTACTGAGCTTCGCGTGGACGTAATTTTAGTTGATGCCTGCTTCATCATCCAGCTCTTTTTATTGAACTTTGAAGACAATAAAAATGATTACATTTTGAGATCAGAATGGTTGAGGAAAGCTGTAGAGCACGAACTGATACTGTTCGAAAACCAGCTTCCTTATTCTCTTCTTGAAGAACTGTATAAGTTTGCCATGACTGCAGCCTCTCCCAGCTCGCATCCCGTCAAAGAGTCACAAGAACAAAATGTGGAAGGAAATGAATCCAGCAGGGACAACCAGCAGTACAATTCCTGCTCGACAGGTCCCCGTGATCATACTAATTCTGTAGATCAGAGTGACGAACCTGAACCTCGATTTCTTACGCTTACCTGGGAGTTCTTTAAAGATTACAGTAGGGGAAAATCCAACAGGAAGGAAGTAAAACCAAAACATTTCACTGATTTGGTAAGGTATTTTCTGTGTCCAGAGTTTCCAGGAGAAATCAACTTCCCGGTAGATGATGGTGTCCCTGTTGTCCCTGAAAAAAGTAAATACGACGTAAGAAAGCTGACGGCAGCAGGGGTGAAGTTCAGGCCACTTCCTCCAGGTACTGTACAGTACGTCATAGAAAAAGACAGAGATGAGGCCCACAAATACTTGCCATGTTTTAGAAATATGAAGCTGAAGCTTACACAGTTTTGTGTGAAGTATGAGACAGAATGTCTCATTCGAAATGTCATGGCCTTGGAGCAGATTTTGTACCCGCACGAGCCTTATATTTGCAGTTACTTTTTGCTGATGGATCAACTTGTCGATACCGTGGAAGATGTGGATTTGCTGGTTGAGAAACAAATTATTGTTAACTTGCTAGGCAGCAACAAAGCAGTTATAAAGCTGGTTAATTCACTCTGTGAGCAGATTAAGGAGGATAAATCCTTCTATTCTGGTCTCTGTAAAGATCTAAATACGCACTACGAGATCAGTAAAGTGAACCGAAGTGTGGCAATCCTCAAACAAGTTTACTTCAAGGATCTTTGGACAAGCAGTTCAACTGTACTTGGAGTTGTTGTCCTGCTTTTCTCAGTCGTTGGAACCATTAAGTCTCTAATGTCGTAAGATTTAAGCTTGTTCGATTCGTAATCTTAATAAATAGACAGCATATTAATGTCAGTCATTACTTCAAGTGATGAACTGGACAATAAGTTGGTTAGTGTTATATCTTCAACATTAAGTTTGAGTTACTAATTAGTTCTGTTATTGTTGTTAATAAAAAGGCTGCAGATCAGCTCTTGTTCATTATTTGTAATAAAAAAAATTTCCATTGAGAATTAAATAAAGAAAGAGTTACGCTCTTGTTTTTAATGCACTAAGAATTGAAGTGTTGGATCTTCAGCTTCAAAGCCACTTGCTGCTAGCTTTGGCTGGTCTTTACAGCAAATACATGTTAAGAATGCTTTTTTTTTTCTTTCTTTAACATGGAAATGAAAAGATACACGTTGTGCAGCCTGAACGCTCAGTCGATTCCAGTAGACCTTGTGCACAACGATGGAGGGCATTAAATTTAAGGAAGGGCTGCTTCAATTGTGCCCCTTAGTTGGTCCTATGAGTACTGCTTCAATCAGCACAACCCCTCACACAAATTGGACCCATTTTCTTGGTAAAAAGTAGGTCAAAGGATAAGGAAAATATTTGAACTCTAAGTTTGGGTATAAAAATAAATACTCTAGAGCCGAAAACAGAAAGAAATATAAATATACTTGGCACCACTAGACCTACAAGTTTTCACAAATTAGACTACTTTTGCGGAATGACTTGAGTTTTCTATGCTCTTCTTCTTCTTTTCCCCTTGTGTTTTGCAAGAAGGTACAACAGAGGATCTATTTGTTTTGCATGAATTTTTGTACCTACAGTTCAAAAATAAATTTCGTTAACTAGTAGCTCACCCTTTTTTAATCAACGGGAGAACGGATATATAAACTTAGAACCACTTTTAACATTGATAAGAAAATTACAAAACTTAGAGCTAGTTGGTGCAACTCACCTTATTAAATACTCGTGATTTTTTCTAAGGGCAAAAGGATAGGAGTACATTAAAAGATAAAGACGGAAATATATCAAGGCTTTGGTACAAGGTCAAGTTCCAAGGCATTAACCAGCAAGGAGGGTTTACAAATCCACCAGGAGCTTACAATATTTGCTGCTCTATTTCATACACTAGGAATTCCAACCGGGCATCCATATGTAGACCGCTCCAGATGATCTATTGGAACATTTACAATGGACTCAACCTCAATCTTCAACCAGCCAGCTATCAGAAAAGCTTCTACCCCTCTCCAAACTATCACAGCCTCTGCAAAACTGCTGCAGCATTCCACACGCCTGAGAACAGTCAAGCCCCAATATTATCTGTACGCACTGTTGCCCCTGATTGCTCACACCATGCAGCGTTGCAGGTTAACATCAGCAATCCTCGAACTCAGACAGCTCCAGCTCAACTCACTCAGCAGAAACCCCTTGAATGGATTCTAAATGTTCTACTGCCTTACAAGTTATAGCATGATAATCCTCAACACTCTTTACCATGCACACAAACAACTCTCCAGGATCAACAAGACTACGATTAATTGTCGTATAAAAATAATAATAAAAAGAGAAAGAAAGACTACCATTCAACAGTACCTTACTTCATATCTTCCATAATCGCCAGATGTCAAACACCAGCTCAAAATAATTACACACCTTCCTGCTTAAGTGACCTATTTCTATCTATTTTGTAAACCATTATGAACAGAAGAATATATATTTAGTTAAAAAACAAGTAGCAATTTTGTCATCTACCTTGTTCACATAGTACAAGTGTAGCAACTTAAAAGAATACTCGGTAAAAACAAAAGTATACATGTTGAATAAGACAAAAATTCTTTTAGATGACGGTAGCCACAAGTTGCTCACATGGTCATGGCACTGGTTCTAGAAGGGATGACCTAAGCATAAATGTTATGTCAAACTACGATTTCATTGCAGACATGTGGAGGTTTTTCTTTTTCTTTTTGAGCAATTAGGTTAATAGTATTAGATATTTACACAAATTGCATGGTTGACATTATTCAGATTGAAACTATGACAAAATTGACAAATAGAAAATTTGTGACTGTTCTTAATTATGTGGATCTAAATAAAGCTTTCAGTACAGGATAAAATTTGAATAATATGTAGCAAAAAGTATGTAATTGAACAAACAAAACAACCATGCGATCAGAAATTTTGAAGAAAAAGTTTGATAACAAAGATTCTGCAGGCGGTTTTATGGCATGATAGGCATGTGACCAATCAAACATTATTTCCAAGAAAACATCTAAATAAACAGAGGTTTGCAGGCAGGTCCTTTGACGAAATATGCAACCAAAAAAGTGTTATGCATGTTGTAATCAAGTAATGATACATTTTAAACCAATTTACTATGTGTGTGTCTGTGTATTCCTTATTACCATTAACCTCCAAATTGTGGATGCCAGGGTTGCCTCTCCCATGAAGTTACAGGTGTCTGGCTCTGATGCAGCCTTTGGAGGGAGAAACCCACATTGGGTAGCTAGGTCAGTTCTTCATAGGAAGCAAGCCCAGATGCACCCTGAGGATTGTGCAAGCACGTTTACAATGCAGTATGCTCAATCTGTAAGGTCAAAAAGAAGGTGAAGCTTCAGTGAGAAAACATGAGCATCAACCCACTGAGGCATGTATGGCTCCTTATAGGGCAGCTGCTGCTTACTTTTCTGTATATACAATAATTGCCAAATTTAGATTTTTTGTTTCTCTAGTCTAAAACAAGAGCTGAATTAGAATTTGATCCCCAAAAAATAGAACATTGAATGCACATACGAGAATATGCTTGAAACACTACAGCTACATGAATTATCAGACCGAAAAACTAGAATTTATGGTCTTCAGTGACTATATGACTCCGAAAACGAATTAGTGATCCACAGTACCAAGACTAATTTGACACGCCAATGGTTTAAAACTTTCAAAAACACTAGAATGCAATTAAGCACTTAATTTGATATTTAACACACAAGGCAATTTAAGTCCAGATGGACCCAAATCTAAGCAACACAATGTAAAATAAAATAAAATAGATGAACTTCATTTTAACTGTCTGCAAAGCTAGCACATATCAAACGTAAATGAAGATGTTGCCACGGAGGACCACAGACGTGAATAGAGAAATCAGATGACTGATGAAAGAATCATAACCAATTTGCATATGAAGCTATCACTGACCATGGTTGCAGCTCCAGAAATATTCAGCCACAGAGCAGATTTAAGGCCACTTGCTCTTTTTGTTCTTGTAACATTATTAACAAAACAATTACCTTCTTGAAGAAAATATATATATAAGAGAGAGAGAGAGAGAGAGAGAGAGAGAGAGAGAGAGATCTATGCGTTACTAGTCCTGGATTCTGAAGATAGGTCTAATGCTAGACACAAGTACAGGAGGTAGGATATTTTTATTTTTCCAGTAGGATAATGAGAATGGCCTAAATTTAAAGTAGGGTGTATGAAGCTCATAGGTACATAAAATATCAGGAATCTCAAAGGATGCACTTGCCAACCAAGGAAATGTCAGATCTGACATTGTGAAACAGAAAAAGAAAATTTGTCACAACGAAAATTTGAATGTCATTGCAACAGGATATTCATATATATCCTTACATGAAACTAACGCTTCTTAACTGCTTCGAAATCATGGGCATGTCAACTTACTGTAATTCCAACAAAAGGCATCCAATTACTCCTTTTACTAAAGGGGTAAGTATGAAAAAATGCTTTCATTAGTTACTTTGAGTTGCACATTCTGCAAGCTTGAGAGACTGCTAATGCAGTGCATGAAACTCAAGCACAATTCAAGTAAAAATGAAAGGCAATGCACCTTGTGATATAAAACCACTAGCTTCAAATAAAATAATCCTGAACAAAATCTTCTTGTAATGGAAGTGCTAAAAAAATCTCAACTGTTGAATCAATATTCAAGCAATAAATAGCTGTTCTTCAAGAGGGCTATTAAAAATCAATAACCATGTAATAACTACAGAACAAAACATTTTTCCAATTTAGCACAATACTCTTAAAACCATTTAATCACTTGCATTACAAGACGAGATGTTAGAAACTATAGAGCTTTATGGATTCAACTTGAGTCTCAACCAGGAACAACTCATCTCATATATACCATTCACAACTCCAACTCTTGCGTCTTCAATTCTAGGATCTAATTTCCCCCAATAACACATCTCCATCCCTCTATTTATTTTGTTTAGTTGAACATCTACATTCCCACCCTCTACTTTTCATTTGTGTGTGTATATGTGGAGAAATTTTTAAATGTTCCAGGTACACCACGTGTCTGGTGTACCATCCAATAAACATAGAACATGTGGATTTATTATCCAACCTACTGCATTTCTTCTTATGACATGTGGCGGACTGCATTGGACATATTCCATATGTCTTCCGTCTATTGGATGGTACACCAACCACGTGGTGTACCGGGAACACTCAAAAATTACTCGTATATGTGAGTGTCCGAGCGCACGTATAAAGTTATTCATTAATTAAGGTGAGCTTCTTGAACTGCCCAGCTTCCTTATGTCTCAATTTCAGTGTCGATATCTTTCACCATTACCAATAATGACTTGTATATGGTTATCAACCCATCTAAGAGCGCATAACTCATCAACGTTTATGTGTTTAGTTAAGCTGAAACTATGCATAGCACTAGCATAGTCACACCCTTGAAGTACAAACAAAAAGGTAAACACTGCACTGCGTACTATTAAACCACAATCTCCATAATTCTAAGCGGAACCCTCTTCTAATCTCAGTACTGCTTATTTTCTATCAATGAAATTATATATCTGGATACAAGCAGATGAAAAATACTGCATACTAGCTTGAAGTTTAGAATCTCCAACATCTTATCTCACACCTACCCTGCATTTCTGTCTTTCTGTCTTTCTCCCCTCTGCACTTCTGTTTCCAATCTAATTCCTACAATATCAACCCCATCCTCCTCCCCCACTTTGAATTCTCCTTTTTTTATTTGAGTGCCTATACTTTCTAGTAATCAGAAAGAAATTATGTGTGCATGGTGCATGGACACCTCTAATAGGAAAGAGAAGTGTGTGCTCGCTAGCAGTATAACACGTCATTCAAATCGAGTAACAGTTAGCACACAAAACTTTGCTGCTCAACAAGTATTGATTAAGAAAGAGCATAAAGGCGACACGCATATAAATCAAAAACACGTGTGCATTTCCAATTTTGGTCTACGATATAAATCCCAATCGCCTCAACTAGCAACAAATAAAATCTTGTGAACTAGCATGAAAAAAGAAACTGCATTAAACCATTTCCAATTCAAGGAAAAAGACAATGTCTAAATTTGATTTTGTTATTATGCTTTATTCGTCCAACTTGTAGCCGATAACTGATAACTCATAAACCCTATGTACATCTGCAACTACTCATAACAGCTAAAATGGTACAGCTCTTCCGACTATTCATTGACCTTCTTACGAAAAGACAAAAACATGATACATCTGTATTATCCTTTCACCTTCTCAGATCTATCATTGTTATACCTTCTGTGTTCAAAATGTTTAGAGCAGTTCACAAGTCTTCAAAATCACCACCAAACATTTAACTAACAGCAGCCTCATCCCATCTAATCCTGAAAGCAGCACATTCAAATTCTCTGTTTCACATAACAAGTCAAACAGCAACCAATTAAGATTAATATATGTTTTGCACATTACACGCAAATCAAAACTTACAAATCAATCTACTGAAAACAAACCAAAGGATTCATAAGATTTCACCTTCAATGGAGTTTCAGGAACCTGGTAGGAATTGGTAGATACTGAATTCAGCCACAACCCAGGAAACAGATGCTGCAAAACAAACAAAACCACATCAAATACCAAGCAATTCAAAACCCTAATGACCCCAAAAGACATAATCACACAAAACCCTTCCCAAAACCTCAAAAACTTTTTAAAATTAACCAACCCCAGCTGAAAAGAAGGAAAAAAAAAAACTCAAATTAAATTCAACAATACAGACATCAAGCTGTTTCTGCACATTCTTAGCTCTCTTCTTTGGGCGCCTGGATGGCCTGGCTCCAGTCATAATAAAAATGTCCTCCTCAATCTCTTCTTTTGTTAAAGAAACCGATATCTTCAGTTTATTGTCCTTTTGAGCATCTTTGGCTCCAGCTTTAGAAGAGCCCCCAGCCACCTGGGTTTTGTTCTGCTGCACCAGCGGTGCACCAGTCTTCAATGCACCAGCACGACCATTGGCCTTAGGCACCGGTCTCCTGGGCCTGAGATTCCAAGTCTTCTGAATCGTCTCTTCATCCTCCAGCGCTGCTAAAGCAGCAGCAACAGAGCTCTCTTTTTCATTTACTTGTTCAGGTTCAGGTTCAGGCTCAGGCACCACAGCAGCCTTTTCTTTGCTCCGAATCCGGATGCAAATCTTCGATTTCTTATCCTCAGCCGTCGATTTTGGCTTCTGGGTCTCCGGGCCGTCGATCACTTCCGTGGCGGGAAGTGGGTCGGCTTCTTTTTCGACATTGCAGAACTTGGGCTCGGGCTGCTTAGCTACCGGGTCAAGCTGTGCGAATTTGGTGTTGCTGCTCAGTTGCAGAGAAGGGTTGTTATTTTCGCTGCTTTTCGCGCTGGTCTTGTTGGTTTCGTTGCTTTTGGTGGTGGTGGTGGTGTTGTTGCTCATGGCCCATTTCAACTGGGGCAAAGGGAGGCCATGGTTTTGGGCTTGGTGGACAAGAGACTTGGAAGGCACAATGGAGGCCATGGAATCGGGTTTCGGGGCGGGCTCGGGTATGGTTTCGGGGCGGGAAGAGACTGAATTGAACACCATGAAAATGGGTTGGCTTGCACTGCCTCACCGAGACTGAGTAGAATCAGAGAAGGTGCTTGCAGTGGTGGGGTTTCAGTGGTTTTGGCATTGAGACAATTTATAGGTTGACAGAGAAAAAGAGAGGAGTGGCTTGGGGAAGAGGGAGAGTGCCTGGTTTTCAGAAAGAGGAAGAGCAGTTATGATCCTACTGTTTCTGGAAGAAGCATACATGGATTCTTTTCTTGTTTGTTCTTTTGTGTCTTGTGCCTATAATGCCCCTCTCATTTTCTTGTATTTTTGCATCACCAAATTGACTTATCTTTTTTTTTACGATTGAAAAAAAAAAAACATAATCACGTGGTTAAACATAATTTAAAAGAAATCCTATGCACTCCGCCGATTTTTTGAAAGTCCTTCCATATGTATAATGTGGTTAAACATAATTTCGGATGCACTTCTAACCCTAATGTTCATTAGTAAGTTACTAGGTCGTTGAGATTAACTTGGTAAGCCGGTAATTCGACAATAAGCACGTATTTAATCATGCTTAAATTAAATTTACTGTGTAGTATCAATAATTAAAAATTTATAAGCACATTCATAAAGAAAAAAATATATAGGTTAAGGCTTCTCAATTCTAAACCCTAGTCGAGGATAGGTGTTTAATTATTGTTAATCACAAGAAAGAAAGAAATTACCCTTAAAATTTTACATTGTCAATGGTTATTATTCCTTACATTTTAAAATATTTATAGGAAGTTTTTGTGTTAGTGAAATGTAACTTGTTTTGGGGACGGAATCTGGGAAAATTAAAGATCAAATGAAAATAAAAAATAAAGTTAAATATCACATTGCCCTTTAGATTCAAATTTTTGTCTCCTCATTCAATTTCTCGTCTGGAAAAATTAGGTATAGCAATTAATTTCAGAATCTAGATGGTTTTTGCATCAATTATGTATGTAAAATATTGTCATGTTAAATTTGTACAATCCATTTTTGGGGGAACACTTTGGACCAAATTGTTCATTGCATATAAGGAAATGGTAAAAAGACGTCCAAATCCTTTTCTTCTTATCCAAGATGGAAAAAGTAACAAACTTTTTTTTTCTTTTTGGAAATAAAAGTTAAAATGGAAAAACAAAGGAAGCTTTTTTTTTTTTTTTTTCCCTTTGGTAATAAAATCCCATTTGGAAAAAAAAAAAATTAAGGAAAAAGATTACGTTTGACTGCTTGTAGGGATATCATATGACTCGTGGACACCATGCAGAGATGAGATGGCAAAATATGGGCCCTGCGATGGGTCCACCTGGAACCTTTATGTTTGTTTCCATTTCACGGTTTTGCTAATCTGTCTTTTTCGGTGGGGCTTTATTTTAGATTGGTCCCCTTCAAGGACCTAAAACAAAGTACCTAAAATACTTCTTTATGAAGTCAAAATATCCATTTCAAGAGGAGAGTTGCCTTGTATGTTTGGGACCCACCACCTATGATCTCAAAAATGATAAAGAAATTGGATTTATCTTCAGAATTTTTTTGTCTTTGGGTTTAGTATTAGAAATTTACCTGAAAATATAATAATTGAATGGAAGTCTTGAATGACATAGTTTGAGGCTAGCTTATAAAATTATATATATATATATATATATATATATAAAGCAAAAGGCACAAGCTGGTGAAATATTCAAAATATCAGAAAATGCCATTGGTTAATCTAAATATTAAGAATTAAAATTATTAATTAAATAAGAATAATATGGTAATTCACACTTTTTTATATTTAAAAAAACTAAAATTAAACGAAAAATTAGATAATAAATCCTATTTTTATGGAACACAACTACCCATTATATTTTTTAATTCTAAAATAAATTTAAAAGTTTTAAAAAAAAAGCCTCTTGCAAGCGCTAAAACGCGTGCGGAGAGGCTAGTATTTAATTATTCTTATAATTATTTTAGTATTTTCGACCAAAAATAATATTTATTTTAGTATTTATAAGGAATAATGAATTGGTCTCTTTGACTACAATCACATAACCAAAAAACATAACTAGTATTTTGTTCATTTTTCAGGGGACTTAAAAGGTAAACGGTTTGAAATTCGGCGAATACCACTGGCTTACCACTTCAGTATTATAGTGTCATTTCTTCTTTTTTAAGAAAGAAAACTATGGGTTGAGAAATTTTCTCACCATTCCAATATCAGCAACCTCTTTTCCATTAGAGCAATTGTCATCTAATTCAACCCCTGCCTAACATAGATTCTATTGCATCATGTAAGACGTCAAACCCTGACTAGTTTTGTATTAGGATCCAAAACCCAAAAGAGATCTATTTAACTCCCTGTAACTTTATACATAAATTTGGTGTAACAGGACACCTCTCTATTACAAGACCTACCAATAAAGTAATATTTTCTTGATTTAAAACAAAGACAACATGAAGAACAGGATTGCTGGGAACTAGATATTTATGGGTAATCTATGTTGCATATGTAAATCAATAACTTTTCTTATTCAATTACTGAACAAGTTTAAAATTGAATAATGTCCTTTTTAGGTCAAAAAATTAAATCATGTTCTTCTGCTTGTATATTTTTTTTTGTTCCCCTTATATGCAGAGCCTTCCAAAGTTAACAGGCCCAAATCTTCTTTTAAAGCATAGCCCAAATCTTCTTGTCTTCTTAGATTCCTCTCTTTCCCTACTTTCAAACTTCTTGCTTGGTGAAGTGTTTTTGAGTTGAGTGAGCAGAGACATTGTACAAAATAAGCTGGTTGACTGTTCTAAGAATACCAGGTAATCATCATATTGTACAAGATGCATGTTCATGCAGGCTTGTGTTCAAATATTAACACCTTCCTTCCAGCCTCCTAAAAAACTGAAGGGAACCCTTGTTAATTGATCGGCATACTGGAACATGAATACGTTCGACGAGGAGAGCAGACCAGTTCCGAGCTTCTGCCAACAGGAAGGCCTCCCACTCTCCTATAGCCTCAGTTTTCCCCTCTAGAAGAGGTCCTCTATTTCCTGACTACTGTGGTCTAAGTTTAACTTTAAAGAATATGGAAACTGCGCTTCAAATAAGCAAGAATAAGGCTTTTAAAATTAAACAAAGACCATTGATCAAGATGGCCATAAGCTTCGACCACCTACTAAAGCTTCTTTCTACTTACCGGCTTGGCTTGAACGACTCCCATGGAGGCTGACCTCAAACATTGCAGCCCTGTTCCATTAATAGTGACATAAACATGTTCAACAAAAGCTCCATCCTCCAACTGGTAGCTGGTGCTGAAAACACATTGTGAACAAAATACACTGAATTGGAAAAAATGGGAATGGAACACAAAAGAGAAGACAAATGCAGCATGGATAAGCAAAACCCCTTTCCAAGTTTCAGAATGGATAAATGGGTGTACATGTGCTTAAAAAATCACTTTTCTAGAAATACCTGAGACTACATCCAGCAGTAATTCAACAGGAATAGTAACAGAACACATGTGTACAACAAACAAACAGCACTTTGTTTCAACGATATAGATTCAATTCCAATTGCCACACTAATTTGATGAGAATTGCTTGAGGCTTGCACTGAGAAAATAGGGTTTTGGCATATGCCCAAATGCACCTCAATGACTTGAAACAAGAAATGAAATCATGCTGCTGATTTTGATAAACATATCAAGAAATCTAGACACAAACATAAAGCATGTAGCCAGAATCACATGGCAATGATAATATTTAGAAGGCACAAAACAAAACTTACTTTCAATAATATGAATCATTATCACTTCACTTGCTCCTCTACATTAAGATTATAAGTTTAAGGATTATGATAAGAAAAAGGTCAAACACCAGCACAGTGGCTGAGAACCAGAAACTATCTAATGTTATCATTACTTGAAAATCAGATAAACATCTACAAGTCTCTCACAATGGATCAATCACAGAAGGTTTAATCTTGACAATTTCCTAATGGTATCCTTATCATCACCGTGTTGGAAGTCCAAATCCAAAGGTAATAATCATATTCTACGTAGTTCATTTATACAACAAGCTGTAGTCTATGCGAGAGATGCCTCCAGACAAGTATTAAAAGATTTTCTGTATGAGAAACACTCAAACCAATGTTTTGGAGCAGCTGGGTGAATTCCAAAAACCCGCGCTACAAATTTCTTTTCACTGGTAGCAATTATGCTGGCTATAGAGTAGCTTTTAGAATACAATCCCTTCTCTTTGAGCCAAACATAAAATCTATATCTGGGCTTGATCCGGTTCTCTAAGTCAAAACACAAAAATGCTGGAAAAATATTGAGGTACTCCAAAGAGGGTTTCATTTCCTCGCTAATAAATTTTACTTTCGCTTCTAGAGATTCTGGGCTCTGATTCAGGATCTTCGGTGCTGTTCTTATCATCAAACAAAGCTTTGAGAATTCAATGCCTGTAGAAAGAAGGCTATCAAACCGCTTTTGTAGCTCACTGCTTCTGCCATGCAAACGGGCTAGGACCGGTAGAGTCAAAGGGTTCTCTCCAAACCCAATGCCATGCAAGAAATTCAATTTTGTCATTGTATGAATGGGTGTTGACGAAGATTGGATCCTCTCCAATCCATCACTAAATTCTTCCGCAATGTCTTCATCAAAATCACTGATAACATAATTAGCTAACAATTGATGTTCATTCTTAATCTTAGTGAAGAACCATTCATGAAGATCCAGAGCCCTCACTAGATGTGGTAAATTTGCCATTTTATTTCTTCCCATCGCATGAGGGTATTTTTCACTCACAGCCTCTAATTCTTTCATGTCGAATCCGAAATGTTTCAACAATCCCAATGCTGATATCACCGGTGTTTCCAGATCAAGGTTTAAAATCTCTGGACTTTGAAGAAGCAACAAACCTACATCCTCCTTCCTAACACCAAACTTACAAAAGTACTTCGCTTTCTGGAACAAAACCTCTGCTGGGCATTCAAGAAAAACATCTTTCCTCCTACCCAGAAATTCCCCTATCTTCCCATTCTCACAACCCAAATCGTAAAACACCCGAACTTTCTTACAAAGCTCATACCAAGACTCCAAATTTCCCTCAGCAGAATTTTCAATATCAAACTCCACAAAAACCCTTTTCAAATCATCAAACAATGCCACAATATCACCACCCAGATCACCCTCCAGGCTCAACAAATACGGGAAAGCCAGGCACATACCCACAACTGAATGATTACCAAATCCATATTCCTTAAACCTACTAAGCCTAGCTTTTAACACCTTTGAACTCTCACTAAAAATAGAAAGCTCCTCCTCATACAACTTCCCTAACATATTCCAAGGAAACCCAAATGCAGAAAGTTCACAAGCAGCATCCAAAACAGTCCCATCTTCAGAGAGGAAGTACTTGTTGGGAGGCACAAAGTGACAAACTTGACTGTAATCTATGCCAATGCTTTCAAAGAAAAACTCAAATTCATTGATGGGGTGGTACCTGAGGAACCTCTGGATGCGATTTGAGAAACTCGGGACCGAAAAATCGACCCTTTTGATGATATTGGTGAGGGAGAAGCGGCAGTTCTTGCTAATGTGCTCGGCGGATGGGAAGGAGAAGCCCCTGGTGGCGTGGAGGTAGTCGGTGAGGACCTTCTGGGCGCGCTCGACGGCTTCGGACTTGTACTTGTGGGGGACATTGGAGAGTTTAGGGAGCCTTGTGGTGGTTTTGGTGGCAGTGGAGAAGTGATGGGCAAGGAGGGTGTAGAGAGATTTGGGGAGGGACATGTTCAAAGGGTTTTTCAGAAAATATGAGTTTTATGGGAGAAACATAAGAAACAGCTTTCATAAACCCACATTTTTATTTGGGTTAAAATTTGGCACTCTCCCAAAAAAAAAA